ATATTAATTAATAATTTATAAAAACTTTATGATACATAACACATGTAAATTTATAAAATTTAAGTATTAACATAAATATACTATTATTAATATTTTTGTAGATAAGAATTTCTTGACATTAAAAATCATTTTTTGATATAAATGTGAATTTGATAAATTATTTAATCCATTAGTTTATAAAATAATGATTTTTAATACTAATATTTTTAATTTGTAATCGGAGTTGTTGGATATAAATATGATTTATTTGTTTAAGTTCTATGTGAAGCGTAGATGCTGAAGTTAATATAAATTAATTTATTTCACTTATAAACATAAGATGAAAGATGGCTTAGTGGTTAATTGCACGTTTAAGATTTAATGAGTGGTGATGTGGGTTCAAATCACCCGAACTCCTTTTTCCCTAAACAGAATCACATTTGTTGTTGTGTCTGGTATGCATTAGCATCAAGGAACATTCACTTTACATCAGAACATTGCACTTTACAAACCAAGTAGTGATGAAGAATGTGAGAGTGAATTGCTTAAAGTATTGGTAACATTCACCCAATCATACATTAGGAACATTACACTTTACAAATGTGACATAAGACTCAACTGGAGTTGGCAAAGGAAGGGATGAAGAAAACAACTCGAGAGATCTCTTCCCCTCAGAAGGATGGCTATAAAAAGGAACAAACTCTGCAAATGTGACATCCATGGAAACAAACCGGGAGCCACTAATGGGATCAAAACAACAGTACCCTTTCTGTGTAGAGGCATAGCCAAGGAAGATACACTTCTGAGCCTTGGGGTCAAACTTGTGTCTTTTGGAATTAGGAATGTGAACATAACAAGTGCAACCAAAGACCCTCAAAGGAATAGGGAAAATCTCAACATCAGGAAAGAGGACTCCAAAAAAGATTTTAATCCCATGACTCGAGAAGGCATGATTAATAAGGTAGGTAGCTGTTAAAACTGCATCACCCCAAAACTTCACAGGAACATGGGTAGCAAAAAGAATGCTCTTTGCAACTTCCACAATGTGTCTGTTTTTCCTTTATGCTATTCCATTTTGTTGTGGAGTGCGGGTACAATAATTCTGATGAATAACTCCAAACTTCTCAATATAGGAGGTAAGGTCCTTATCAAAATATTCCTTAGCATTGTCTAGCCAGAATATTTTAATGCGAGTATTAAACTGAGTGAGTATGTGTTCATGGAATTGTTGCACGAATTTAAGCATTTCAACCCGATAATGCATAAGGTAAATCCAAGTATATTGTGAACAATCATCAATAAACAGGATGAAATATTTATACCCATCTATACATGGTAAATGGTAAGGTCCCCACAAGACTGACAATGAAGGATAAATGCTCTTACAATGCTTTGAGAACTCACAAGACTCACAATGAAGACTTGATGGACTGATTCTTTTAAATAACTCTGGAAACAACTAACTCAATGAAGAAAAGAACACATGACCCAAACGACTATGACAAAACATAATACAACTAGTGGGCTCTGAAACAAATGCAGTTTTCTTAGGTTGTACTAGGCTCTGCTCAGGCATGTCTAACAGATAAATCCCATTCACCTCATGGCCATTCCCAATCACCTTCTGAGATTCTATGTCCTGAAAAACACAATATGAAGAAAAAAAAGGTCACACTACAATTCAGGGATTTAGTCAAATTACTAATTAAAAGCAAATTAGTATTAAGTTTAGGTACATGAAGAACGAATGATAAGATCAGGGCATTAGAGGTCTTAATGTTTTCCTTTCCTATGATAGGGGCTAGGGAGCCATCAACAAGGGATATCTTGTTTTGGCCAGAAAGAAGTTGGTAAGAGGTGAATAGATGTGAAACATTGGCCATATGGTCAGAAGCACCAGAATCAATTATCCAAGGGGTTTTATGAGTACCTGAGATAGAAGCATGATGTACAGTGGCATGAATACCTGAGTGAGTATATACAGAGGAATGAACAGTCTCTAAAGAAAATGTAGCAATGGACTCCAAGTGACTGATGATTCAGCCATACTTCTTATATTCAGCCCTAGCGGTTGCAAGCTATTCTCCCATTGACTTCTCTCCACCCTGTCCTTGTTCACCTTGTGAAGAGGTAGCTACATTTGTATTTCCACTTTTTCCAGTTTCAACCCTTTTCCCACCATTTTCTTTCTTGAATCTGGCAGGAATGAGCTCTGGATGCATTTTTCAACATGTGTCTTTAGTGTGTTTAGGCTTCTTGTAGTATTCACAGATAGCATCTTTCTTCCCAATGCTAACCTTTGGCTTCATCCCAACATTAGCATAGTGATATACCTGCGGCTCGACAAACTAAACTTGTCTTTTGCTCTTCTCATTGCTCACCATAGCATATGCATGAGACAAAGTTACCCCATCCTTTGCTAAAACATTCTACCTCACAGTATGATACTTCGAGTTGAGTCCGGTGAGGAATTCGAAGACCCGACCAACCTCCTATATGTTTCTGCATCCTTTGTGCAAACCCAAACAACAGTCTCTATCAAATCAATCTCTCGCCAAAGAGATTTTAGCATAGAGAAGTAGACTACCAAGGGCTTCTCCCCCTATCTAAGATTATTCATATCATGCTTCAATTTGTAGGCCCGAACAACATTAAGCTTTTGGGAATAGGTCCCTATGACACTATCCCACACTTCTTTTGCAGTTTCCATCCACAAGTAATGTTGACTAATGTGTGATTGCATAGAATTCGCTAGCCAACCCACTACTGTGTAGTTTTCCTGCATCCACCTTTCATAGGTAGGATCCTCCTCCTCTGGTTTCTTCTTGCTCCTGATAATATAACCTCATTTTCCTCTACTACACTCATGTATCTTAATAGATTGAGACCAAGCTAAATAATTGGTCCCATCTAGCTTTATAGTAGTCACAACCCTAAAAAGATTCTCCATTGACCCCCCATGTCCAAACCTAGAATCTGTGGAATATTTGCTCTCTCCTCCAGTTTGCTCCATTGAGTAAACAAATGTAAACAATAATCAAATTAGGGATTTACTAGGCTAGATTTACTATTCTAAGCAAAGCACAACCTTTCAACCTCTCAAAATTAGGGTTTCATAAGGTCCTGTGGAATGGTCATGTGGAATGGTGAGAAAGAGAGAAACTTCAACTGCCCATTTTAGATGTTCCAGAATTCAATCCAACCAAAAACTGCTCTTAATAGAAATCAAAAGGCTTACCTCTGATCCCCAAGCATCTGATTCAAAGTGTCTCTACAACCTGTAACAAGGTTTCTCTAGTTATCTAGGGTTTTCGGGAAAAATCTCCAAGAACCTGCCTTGAGCTTCAATTAAGAATGAAAAACCTCCACAAAACTCTCCAAAAACCTTCCTAACTAGGCTACATAAGTAGCTGATTAATTAACCGATCAGTTCTCCATACACACTATGTATGGGCAAAGAAAGGAGAAAAAAGTCGAAAGTGAGAACCCACTTTGATACCAAGTTGAAAATTACACCTACAGTAATTTAGATAATGCAAGAAAAGAAGAAAAGAGAAAAAGAGAAAGAAGAAGAAAGAAGTTTCAACAATAGGTTGTGGAAGAAGAAAAGAAGGGAAGAGAGAAAAAGAAGAATTCAAACCTCTCTCTAACTCCCTTTCATCACTTTTATTATTAATTCTAAGTTTGAGTACAATTACTTGGATGCCCTTAATGGAGCGGCCAACACTAAAGAAATAATTAAAGAAAATAAAAGAAGGCCCATAACTAAGAAACATAACTTTTAAATACTACTTGAAAGAAATAAACACTAAGGCCTATTCGGGCCATTCTCACTACAAAAATAATATGAAAAAAAATGCATTAACTCAGAAACAAGTTGATCATATTATAAACTTGAATTTTAATTTAACTTTCTCTATAAGCTAATCACAACCACTAAATTTCAATCTATGAAAAAATCTAAGGAAAAGTTAATTGACTATATTACTATTAAGGTAGCAAACTAGGTAGAAACAATTGACTTCTTTAAGGAATTCTTAGTTGACAATGTTATTAGGGAAGTTCTCCATAGTACATAAAAGATTAAGCTGAACCTTCATGGAAGTTCATTTGGTAATTTGGGGCCATTAGGTGTAGAGGGAGTTTAAGAGATGGAGAAGGAAGAGTTTTGGGGCAAATAGGGTTAGGAGACTTGCTAAGAGCTAAGTTTTGATCCTTGTTCAATGTTTGAGATTGGCTAAACAATTAGGCTTGTAATAGGTTGAAATGGAGGCGGACTCCTAGTTGGTAATAGGATGGATTCAAGAAAATGGATTAGGAATTTATATTCACTAAGAGGTCATGAGGGAAATTAGGTGCCTAACAAGCAAATGGATTAGGAATTTATAGCAAGTAATTGTTAGTAATGAAATTTTCTAATTTACCAAGATTACAAAAGAAATTATAATTTAAGTGTTGATATTTATTGAATAATATTGAGTAATATCAGTAATTATTGAAAATATTAAAAATATTTCACAAATTAATTTAACCACAATTTTAGGTTTAGATGATTTATCGAGCATGTAATACGGATTAAGAGATGTTTTAGGAAGAATTTTAGGTGGGAGATATAGTTTAGGAGAAATTTAGGATGGGGGTTGGCTAAGCGGTGAGAACATTAGAAAAAGAGAACTTGAGTGAGACTCTATTGAAGAATAGAGGACTGCCACGTGGTTATATATAAGGGTTGGAAAGGGTCAGAGAGAAAGGAGAGTCAACGAGAAATGAGATAAAGGGGAATGGGAAAAGGAAAGGGCAGCTGATCTGGATCATATCTCTATATAAAAGAACGTAGATATTATTGAAATATATTTATTTATTTTTGTTTATTTTAAGTATTTTTTTCAAAAATGTTTTTAATTAAAAAGGTTTGAGGTTCAAGGGGCCCTTAATAGGGACACAAGACAAAATCATCAAACCAGAACCTATATAATCGGTTTGATCGGGTAAAACCGACCCATTTACAGTTGCGAGCAAAAGAGGTCTTGGTAGCGTTACTGCTGGTTACACTTCATCGGTCTTAATTCGATGCTCCCTCTTCTCCTTTTCTCCAAAAGCGCGGAACGATTCATGTTGAATCGACTGTAAGTCAATGTATCCTAGAACGCCTCTCAGCAACCTCCGTAAACTGAACTCAATCTCTTCTCTCACATTTAAATTGTCAACTCTCCCGAAAGCAACAAAAGAGATAAACCGAAAGATTCAGGTTGAGTTAACTCCAGAGCATCATATATACAACGATCTCCTGAAAGCCTGCTTGCAAGAATGCAAACTAGTTCAATCTCACGGAGAAACGCCTCATTTACAAGCTCAGTCGTTGAGAAAAAGTAAAACTATACATGCCCAGGTTCTGAAAATCGGGTTTGGATTGAAGGGGAAACTGGGAAACTTCCTTGTTGATTTGTATTCTAAATGTGGAGATTTGGACCTTGCGCGTAAGACTTTTTGTAGACTTGATGAGAGAGATGGGTCAGCTTGGAACTCAATGCTATCTCTGTATTCAGGGTGCGGGTTGCTCGAAGATGTTATCTGGGCTTTTGGGTCAATGAGGAATTGCAGGACGCAACCAAATGAGTTCACTTTTTCTATAGTTTTGTCAGCTTGCGGTAGATTGAGGGCTGTTGGTTTTGGAAAACAGGTTCACTGCGATGTTATTAAGATGGGATTCGAGTCAATTTCTTCGTGTGAGGGTTCTTTGATCAGCATGTATGCTAAATGTGATTGTATCATTGATGCTTGGAAAATATTTGATAGGGCTTCAGATCCTGATACTATTTCTTGGACAGCCATGATTGCTGGTTATGCTCGGTTTGGTTTGCCGGATGAAGCACTGAAACTGTTCAAGGAAATGCAACAATTAGGTCGTGAACCGGACCAGGTAACATTTGGAACTGTGTTAACTGCATGTTTTAGTTTAGGTAGGCACAGTGATGCGCGCTGTTTATTTGCCCAAATGCCAAACCCCAATGTTGTAGCATGGAACATCATGATCTCGAAGCATGCCCAGAGTGGTTACAATGTGGAAGCCATTAATTTTTTCGAAGATATGCGGGCATCTGGGGTTAAACCCACAAGATCCACTTTAGGTAGTGTTTTAAGTGCCATTGCAAGCCTAGGGGCTCTTACTCAGGGTCAGCAAGTTCATTCCGAGGCAATCAGGCTGGGACTAGATTCTAATGTTTATGTTGGAAGTTCTCTGATCAATATGTATGTTGAAAGTCAGAACATGGAAGATGCAAGCAATGTATTTGCTACAGTTACCGAGAGAAATATTGTATTGTGGAATGCAATACTTAAAGGTTATGCACACAATGGGCAGTCCTATCATGTCTTGGATTTGGTCTCTGATATGAAGGATTGTGGCATCCAACCTGATGAATTTACCTACACTAGTGTTCTCAAAGCATGTGCCTGCTTGGAGAGTTTAGATATGGGTAGGCAACTACATTCTTCTGTAATCAAGATCAACTTGGATTTAAGTGTTTTTGTGGGAAATGCTCTTGTTGACATGTATGCTAAATCTGGGGATCTCAAGGATGCAAGGCAACAATTTGAGATCATTCAAGATCGAGATAATGTTTCTTGGAACGCTATCATTGTTGGTTATGGTCATGAAGAAGATGAGGAAGAGGCTTTGATCATGTTCCAAAGGATGATCTTAAATGGATTCGTGCCAGATGAATATGCTTTGTCCAGTATACTAAGTACTTGTGCAAGGCTTCAAGCTCTTGAACAAGGACAGCAAGTGCATTGTTTCTCAGTCAAGTCTGGTCTTGACTTTAAGCTCTATGCTGGGAGTTCCCTGATTGACATGTATGCAAAATGTGGGGCCATTGAGGCTTCAACTAGGATACTCTCTCAGATGCCTGAGCAAAGTGAGGTCTCTAGGAATGCTCTAATTGCTGGGTACATCCAAAACAACCAGATGGATGAAGCAGTGCATCTGTTTCAAGACATGCAAATGGCAGGACTGAAACCAACCAAAATTACCTTTGCAAGCATTCTACCTGCATGTGGTGGAACTTCCAGATTGAATATGGGAAGACAGATACACTGTTATACAATAAAATCTGGCCTTTTACAAGGTGATATCTTTTTGGGGGTGCCACTATTGGGCATGTACCTGAATTTCCTATCCATTGAAGATGCAAATAAGCTGTTCTTGGAGTTTCCTGATAAGAACTCAGTACTATGGACTGCTATTATTTCAGGACATGCTCAGAATGATTACAGTGAGGAGGCTTTGTGGTTGTTCAAGGAAATGCATAGTGGCAATGTTCCACCGGACCAAGCCACTTTTGCTAGTGTGCTCAGAGCTTGTGCTTGCTCAGCTGCATTGAAAGATGGCAGAGAGGTCCATTGTCTCATTATTCGAAGTGGCTTCAACTCAGACGAGTCCACAAGTAGCGCCCTTGTAGACATGTATGCCAAATGTGGGGATATGAGAAGTTCTATGCAAATTTTTGAAGAAATGGACAATAGGCAAGATGTTATTTCTTGGAACTCAATGATTGTTGGATTTGCAAAGAATGGATATGCAGAGGATGCACTTCAAATTTTTGACCGAATGAAACATGCACTTGTAAAGCCTGATGATATCACATTTATTGGTATTCTTACTGCATGTAGTCATGCGGGGCTGGTATCTGAAGGTTGTAGGTTCTTTGATATTATGGTCAACTATTATGAAATTCAACCGAGAGTTGATCACTATGCCTGTATGGTCGATCTCCTTGGCCGTGGTGGCCATCTCAAAGAAGCAGAAGAGTTTATTGACGGATTACCATTTCAACCTGATGCTGTAATTTGGGCTACATTTCTTGCTGCATGCAGAATACATGGGGACAATGTACGAGGTCAACGAGCAGCTGAAAGACTCATTGAACTGGAACCTCAAAATTCCTCACCTTATGTGCTGCTTTCTAATATATATGCTGCAGCTGGGGACTGGAATGGGGTGAATACAATAAGGAAGGCAATGAAAGAAAGAGGAGTGAAGAAGCTGCCTGGATGTAGCTGGATTGTAGTGAGAAAAAAGACCAACTTATTTGTTGCAGGGGACAAATTTCATCCTAATGCAGGTGAAATTGATGAAGTTTTGAAGGATTTGACTGCACTAATGAAAGAAGATGGTTATGTTGCAAGAATTGATCCTGTTTTGCAAGATGAAGATTGAATGACTCTTCTACACTCTTGCATTTTGGTGTGGAATTCTGTTTGATCTGAGACTCTAAGTTGTTGTCTAGTTGGCTTGAGCAGAATGAGGTACATCCAGGGGTAGTAGTCAACTAGTCATATAAACTTGACAGAAAGTGATGGATACTGGGTAAAAATGATGTTTACAGGTGCTGAGCTGCATCAATTGGACCCCTCGATTCTTTTTCCTTTCCACCTATATACATGACTGTCATTATTCCATAAACTCTTGCAGTCTATGGTTTTTCATTCCTGTTCCTTTTGGGAGGTTAGAAGCTCCAAAGGCTAAGACACTGTTTGGTAAGTCTACTCAGATGGTCATTTGGTCTATGGGAAGATTGAAAGATGGAAAATGAGCCTTTCTTGTTTGGTATCAGGAAGATTGAAAGACCGAATTTTAGGAAGCTTCAAACGAAGCTTTTGGTCCTTTGAAGGTCCATCATCTTTGAAAATTTGGTGCTTTGGCTATCAAATTCATGTGCTAAAGTTACACATGATTTCAAACTTGAGTCTAAAGCTCATCTTCTTCTCCCCATTTTCATTGTGTTCAACGTCTATCACAGCAGAGAGGAAATCACAACAGGTAATCTTTTTCCTCTCCTCTTTCTTCTTCTTCTGTTCTTCTTCTTCTTTGGGAATGTCAACTAATTTGTTTTTTTCTGCAAGTTAGGGCATTGTTTGGTGGGCCAGCAATCAACAGAAGAGGTGTAGTCCACTTTCACTCAGCTATGTTTAATTGTGAACTGATTTGTTTTCTTCCTACTTGAAATGTGAGTTTAGGGTTTTAAATGTTCAGTTTGACACATGTATAATCAGTTATGTTGATTTACTTGCTCCATGTTGATCAGGTGACTGCCCAAAGTAGAAAGTTCAGAACTGTAATCTGATTTGATAACAGAGATAAAAGAAAGAAAGAAAATAGTTTCTTTAAGAGAAGAAGAGGAGAAAGAGAAGAAGAGATGGGAGAAGCCAATAATGATCTGGCCGCCCCACTCAATAACTTATATACTTATGAAACAAAAGAGATTACAATGACTAATATGCCCTTAATAGGGCTGTTGCTGCTAATAACATACAAGCAGTCTTAAAAAGTAAACATAAACTAATGGGCCTTGGGCCCAGTAACACAACACTAACTAATGATACTTTTTTTTTTTATCAATAACAAATTCATTAACTCATCATTAAAATAATTACAAAGAGGAAGACAAACACTCTTATCTTCCAAATACAACTTAAGCCTTCAAAAGAAAAGAAAAGGAAAGGAAGAAACAATAAAGTTACAATTTAGCCCAAAACATTGAATCCCTTTCTACCCCTTGTTTAGCCAATCCATCAGCTAAAGAATTAGCTGATCTTTTAACCCAATTCATCTTCACTTCCATCTCCCGCACCAGCCACTTAAATATTCTCCTCTCATTGCTGTAATTCCATAAGCCACTGTTATCTTTATTCAGCCACCCTATCACCACCTCTGAGTCCCCTTCAATTATAAGCTTTTTGATATTCATCTCCTTAGCTTTCTGGATTCCTTCCATAACCGCAGAGATCTCAGCTCTAAGAGAGTCACCCACTCCAATTGGGCCTGAGAACAAGGCGGAAATGACCCCATTCTCATCCCTAAAGACACCCCCAATCCCTGACTGTCCGGGATTCCCCCTACTACTCCCATCAAAGTTTAATTTTATGAATCCAGCAGGTGGTGGAGTCCAGGGCACACTCATTACTGATCTGGCCTGTGTTTGCAATCTCACCCCACTTCCTCAACATGTCATCCCCTGTGTAATCTGTAAATAGCTCTAAGGATTTCAGCCATTGGACAACCCTAATATGGATTATAGCCCTCAGTTCTTCAGCCCCTCTCTTCACTTCTGAGAAGATCCTGGAATTTTTTTCTTTCCATAATGGCTAGCATACTGCAGCCCTCAATCCCCTCCACATAGTCCTTCCCCTTTTCATACGCCACCTGAAAAAAGAAGGGGAGAAAAGACACTGCATGTCTGATGGAGGGTCCCAGCTATACCCAAAAAGAGAAAAGGCCCACTCCCAAATAAACTTTGCAAATTGGCAAGACACTAGTAAGTGGAAACTAGTCTCCCCCTCCGCTTTGCAAAGAACACACCAATGAGGTGACAAGCAAGTATTGGGTCTCTTCTTTTGGAGCAAATCACCCGTGTTTATTCTTTCCAAAAAGGCTTCCCAACAAAAACTACCAACCCTGGGAGGAATTGGTCTGCACCAAACCTCATTAACAGGGAAAGGGGGGGGGGGTAATAGGACTGGTGGATTGGCTTAAGACTTTAAAGAAGGAAGCACAAGAAAAAGAGCCAGTGGGGGTAGGGGTCCAAATTCTAGAGTCCGCCTTAGTGGGGTCTAAGAAGACATTATCAAGAAGTTCAAGGAGACTCGAAATACTCTCAAGGTCTGAGTCCCTCACCGCCCTTCTCAGACCCAGGTTCCACCCCGACCCGGAAATGGAAGAGGAAGGGGTGATGAAAGAACATACTGGCTCATTTTTAAAATCAGATAGAGCATACAATGAAGGAAACTGGTCTTTTAGGGAAGCAATCCCCACCCAAGTTTGTTCCCAAAACTTTATGGAGTTACCTGAATTCAAATCATACCTGATAAAAGGGGTGAAAACTGGTAGCAGATCATGAATGGCTTTCCAAGGAGAAGTGCTTGTGGACCTAGTTCTGATTCCAACATCCCATCCATTTTGCTCTAGCCCATGTATGCTTGCCACTATTCTAGCCCAAAGCTTCTCCCGCTCCAATGGAAATCTCCACAACCACTTTCCCAACACTAGTTAATGATACTAATAAAAGGAAATAAAAAGACTGCTGAATCTCAACACTCCCCTTCAAGTTGGGAGTATGTCACACATTCCCAACTTGTGTAAATCTTGTTCAAGATTATTTTTTGCAACTCTCTTGGTGGGTACATCAATAAGTTGTAGGTTAGATGAAACATATGGTAGACAAACTTCTCTAGATATCACCCTTTATCTTATGAAATGGTAGCCCACTTCTATATGCTTTGTTCTATTATGCTGAACCGGGTTATGGGCAATGTTAATTGATGCTTGATTATCACAGTATAACATCATAGGTTCATCTGCATCAACTCCAAGCTCTCCTAGTAAAGACCAAACCTTGAAAAGCTCTAAAGCACCATGTGCCATAGCTCTATATTATGTTTCTGCACTTGACCTGGCTACAATTGGTTGCTTTTTACTTTTCCATGAAATCAGATTACCTCCAACAAGAGTGCAAACTCTTGATGTAGATCTCCTATCATCTAGACACCCTCACATCTGTGTAAGCTTCCAACTTCAAGTGTCCATGATCAATAAACAATGTCCCTCTGCTTGGATGTCCTTTCAAATAGGCAAAGTATCCTGTCAATGGCTTCCTAGTGTTGAGCTTGTGGGGCATGCATGTACTAATTCATCGCACTAAATGCATAGGAGATATCTAGTCGTGTCATGCACAAGTATAATAGTTAGCCCACCAATCTCTGATACCTCCCAACATCCTTTATTAGCTTACCATTTGAAGCATTAATTCTATGGTTTTGGTCAATTGGTGTATCAACTGGTTTAACCCCAAGTTTTCTTGTCTCCTGTAGTAGGTCCAATATATACTTTCTCTGGGAAATGAAGATCCCATATTTGGATCTTGCCACTTAATGCCTAGAAAATACCTCAACTCCCCAAGGTCCTTAATCTTAAACTCCTAGTGTAGGTTCCTCTTTAAGGCATTAATCTCACTTAGGTCATTCTATATGTAAATCAGTCCTCTAAATCTGATGTAAACTTGGGAAAAATTAGAGAGAAAAAGGAAGAAAAGAAGAGAACAGCAGTACAAGAGAAGGAAGATGGAGAAAAGAGGAGGAAGAAGAAGAAGAGTTCGAATATCTCTTCCCTCCCTTCTCTAATCCTTTTACTAAACTTCAATCTGAACATAATTACAAGTATACCCTTAAGTGGGCGGCCAACTAGGCAATAACATAAAGAGAACTAGCAAAAGAAATAACAGGCCCATTAAGATAGGCCCATTGGCTAACAAATGAATAAAACATACTACAAGAAAAGATACTAGGGCCCATTTAGCCCAATC